ACGGTGCTGATGCATCCAGCTCAGTTTAGTCACACACTAGAAAGCAGGGCCTTATCAAAGTGTGTACAGCTGACATACTTACCAGTGGAAAAGCATCTCTTCACAGTACGGCTCAGGCACGGCCTCGTTCTTGGTGACAGTGGAAAAGCGCCATTAGTAAGACATTGCTAACCTTTGTGACTATCTCAGGGTTTTGTATTGTCACCTACCTTCTTGGCCTGCTTGTGGACTGTGATTTGGGTTAGGCTTAGGGTTAGGGTTAGGCTTAGGGTTAGGCGTACTTCTTATTCTGAAGTGCTTCTGACCTCCGCCTGTCGTTTTATTTATGTTTCTTGGATTTTACTTTATGTCTGTTAGCTCAGATCACGATTCATTAAACCCACTATCTCTGCACTTGGATCACGGGCTACTTTCGCTGCACCAAATGCTTCCTCCATGCTCTCCATGAGCTTCCTGCTCAGTTCTACACAGTCCACTGATACACAGACTAGGTGTGCTGGAAATTCAAAATTGCTCTTAAAGCATGCAAGTGCTTTGGTCTGATCTGTTCTGGTTTATGATGGGTGTCCTATCTGGATAAGTGCTTAGGGAAAATGGAGCTATGGGTATATATCTACAGCTGTAAGTGCTTTAGTATATGATTTGCATAGAAAGGCAGATATTATGTAATATAATTGAAGTGATATTTTGTGATAAAACCATAACTGAATAAAACTGAAAAAATGCCTATAAAAATTCTTATAACAGTCCAACTCTTTTTAAAGTCATTATTAATGGCACACCCTCATGGAAAGTCATGTACCTTCACGGGAGCTCCAGATCCTGTGGTGAGGAGAGATGGTCACTACACAATTGAGTTTCATGTAGTGACCGGAAAAAAAAAATCAAAAACTGAATGAAGTGATTGACTGCACAAATAAAGAAAAAATCTGAGGCCATGTGAAGTAAATTACGGTAAAAGAGGTCATGGTGCACATAACCAAATATGGTGGTAAAACAGGAATGGAACTATCATGGAACATAGAAAGCCATAGGCACATTTCTTCTTATTAACTCCGTGGCTGCGAATGGGCAATCGGACCTCATTTTCTTTTATTGTGACCATTTTCTCCCTCAATTTCAGCGTGTATGGTGGCACGGCACCTATCACCAAATACTGACAGATTCTCCGCTTTCCCATTCCAGTGCCCCACTGAGCGGAAGATAGGCTGCCATGTTGAGTTCTCCTGTTGCTGCAGTTCTGTAAATTGTGTCCCTATCTGCAACGACAGAGTCCAAAGGCCATATTCATGCCTATGTGTGTGTGTGTGTGTGTGTGCGTTTTATTTTTTTCCGAGTGCCTCTGGAGGTACCTCACACCTCACAATAACCCCTTCAAGGAGGGAAGAAGAACACTTTAATGCAGCAAGAGAAAGGGGGAAAATTTCAGTTAATCCATTTTGTCAAAAAAACCCAAACTTGAATGAAAGTTTCTTTATAATGTTGTGATTTTTATTCTGTTAGTGCCTACCAACACAAACAAGCTATTCATAATGTCTGTAGCTCTTCCCACCTTGAGAGACCCATGTCCTCTCCGACTTCTTTTATTGTACTTATTTCCTATCAGGCAGCTCCTCTGATGACCCTGTGAGGCTAGAGGTTGTCCAGCCCTCAGCTGTATCTTCAGCTAAAGCTCACACACTGGATTCTTCTTTTTTCCAGCGTCTTCTCAGCTAGAGAGTGATTTGAGCACATGGGAGACACCCATCCGCTTGATAACAACAAAGGCGGAATTTTGCCCAAGGGGTGATATACAAAAGAAACAAAAAATGCAGTTGTAAGGCCCAAGGTTGCATAATAAATATTATGTTTGTTGTCACCTGGGGGTGCTTGATGCTTGAGTACAATACACCAGCTTGCATTTATAATAAAGGGATTTCACATGTTATAGCCAGAAAAAGCTAAATTAGCTGCTTGATTAACTAACTAATTTAGCCAATTTTCTTGTGTTCATTTTAATGTAGTTAAATATATAGCTAGGTTAGAGAAATAACTACTATGGTCTTAATGCTAGTCATAGTCATTGTTTAAATAATATTATGTGCATGTTGTTAGAGGACATAAGGATGCTTATCAGAAATTGTTCAGACAGAAAAATTAAGTTTCATGTACAGGTTTTTCTTTTGAGTTTATTCATATATAACATGAGTTTAATCATATATATATATATATATATATATATATATATATATATATATATATATTCTGTTTTATAATTTATTGGCCACCTCTCACAGACAAGTTCATGTATCACTGATTTGCCTATCATGGTTTTCTGTAGATTAACTCCACTCATCTTACATCTAAAAAGTTTGCACTTAGCTATATCTTAAAGTGAAAGCAATGAAAAACTCGAGTGCTCAGAACATCCTTAGTCATTTTATGTGCTATGCACAGTCTCAACCAGTGACAAGAAATTTGAAAGACAATTTGAAACCACCTGCTAAACATCTCCATCCCAATATCGATGGATCTTTCAAAACATCTGTCGAATTAACAGTGGGTCATAGCACAGTACATCTCACTTTCCAAATGTTTTCCCAGAATACCCCCCATGGGGAAATATTGCGAATGACTGTTAATTGTGCATTTGTTGTGCCTTTACCGCTGCAAGCACTAGGTTGGATATTTTCAATTCAACTTAAAAAAGAGATTAAACTAATGCTCCATTTGCTCACCAGACTGTATCGTCTATAATTGTATAGCATAATTTTTACTTAAATTGTGCCTTATAGCCTTTTTTTTTAATTTGCTGTGCTAACAGCTCTGGTGGGAAGAATTTTAAATGTTCAAATGTCTGCAAATATCTTTGCAGCTGCCTATAACTGTGTCTCTAGAGCACCTTTATGTCGCCAGCCTCTTCTTTTGCAATTTTTTTTCTAGTATGTATTGGAATCTAATAACTGTTTTACATTTTGATTCTCACAGGGGTGCCACATGGCTCAGTGCTGGGTCATTAAGAGCAGTGCTGTATTGAAACGCCATGGAAAATTATAAAAATATATAAATTACATTTCTATGGCGATGATTCAGTTTAACTAATCATATACACTGGAAGGTAAAATGTCCATAAATATCTAAGCAATTATTTTGGAGACAGTCGAAACTGAATTGCAAACTCAGAAAGTTTCCTATTAAAGGAAATTCCATTGATTCTGTATGAGTGTTCTGTCCTCAGGCCTTAACACTTTTAAAGGATTTAATTCAGCTTTGCAAAATTTATTAATAAATTAGGTGTCCCTTTATACGTACCACAGCCTATTTTTTGGTTCACTCATTTCTCAATTTATGGTGTGCATCTGTGAATGAAATATATATATATATATATATATATATATATATATATATATATATATATATATATATATGTCACGTTTCAGCAGGCAGGTGAGCAGGGAAGCAGGCGAGAGCCAAAATGACGGGTAATCAGGGTCTTTAATCCTTGACAGACAGACAGGTAGGGACATCTAACGGACAATACAATGCTGGATCTGGCATACATGTGGAGACGCGGACTAATATACACAGGACTAGGTAAACGGAACAGGCAACAGCTGGGCACAATCGGGGAAGCACACGTGGATAATGAGGGGGCGTGGCACACACTAGGAGCGGACGGAGCGGGGCGTGACTATATATATATATATATATTTTTTTTTTTTTGCAAACTGAAGCCTGGTTCTTTCCTGTTTCTCATTAATGAAAAGCTTCTTCTTTGCTTTATGGGACTTTAGTCCTGCTTCTAGGAGCCTGATACCAACTATCTTAGCAATGCATTTCACAGCTGCACTTAATGCTTCCCATTCCTTTTGAAGGTCACTTGAGGTCATCATACATTTCATGAGAAACTGTTGGATAAGTTAATGGTCATCTCTGGCATTAGATAGTCGCTTCCGCCCTCTACCTGGCAGGTTTCTGGTCATTCCCAGTGTCTCCTGCTTCACCCTATTTCTGTGAACTGCTGTCTTAGAAATTTTGAACCTGGAAGCGACCTGCTGCTCAGCGTAACCCTCTGCCAGCAGAATCACGATTAAACCAGGATTTAAAAATGCAGATTTGTTTAAAAATATAGAGTGCTCTCTTATTTTTTTCTGTGGCTGTATATCTACAGTATCTGTTACAACTCCTAAAGTTTGTTATTTGTAATGTGGGATTTTCAACAAACACAAATTGCACATTTCCTGAGGTGCTTTCAAAGTTCTGCAGCGAGAATTGCAAAAACAAAAAACCATGAAATATTATTGCTATGCCAGCAGTATTCATATGTCTTTACTGACTTTCAGGACAGACTTCAAAATTGTACAGAAAGATCTGGTCCTGACTCCATTACTGTGTACAAGAGGTAAGAAACACTCTGATCACGCAATGAAATTCTCTTTGCAATCCTACAATAAACAAAACAGCCAGAACAGGCCCCCTAATTTACAGAACACTACACTGACAAATGCTATGAAAACCCCACAGTCTCGGCATACAGTTCCACATGAAAGATCAACCATATTCTTTTCTTCATGTAGAGTCACTATGGCTGTTGCCTTTGCGGGAGTTTACATGTCTTTGATAACTATATCAATAATGTGTATGTACTGTACTCATTCAAAACAAGTATTTGTTGTTTCTGTCCTTCCATTGGTGGAGGTCCAGCAGGGCTTCAGAAACCCCTGCATACAGAGATGGGGAGTATTTTAATTACGTATATTTAAAATATGTATTTATTTATTTTTTGAGTATTTTGTAATTTGTGTTTTGCTGGACAGAAAAAAAAACCAGATGTTACTTGTAACAATCCTTCGATACACTGTATTTTATGTACTTAAGGTATTAAAAATACATAATAAAATATATCATTTTATTTATTTATTTTCTGTCATTTTAAGAACCTTCATCCCCAGGGTTACAGTCTATCGCCGTCGTTTGCTGTAAATCACGTGACATCCTGCTGGGCCCAACTTGCTCGTGACCTTCGTTTTCCCATGACCGAAGATGCTGTTTTGGTGCTAGTTGCAAATTGCTTTAAGGTAAAGTATGTAGTAAAATGTACTATCAGATACTGCTCACTGAATATCATTATACCATAGAAAAATAGAGCAATCAGCAAACAGCAGTGCTGAGCTCTAGCACTTGTGAATGAACTTGCTAGCCTGCTAGGATACTAGTTAATTTCAACAGGCATGCCCAGGCAATGGCGTTCTGTGGTTTGTCATGTATGGAAGCCTTCATTAGTGATAAATCAGGCTAGCTATTTTTGTTCCTAAGGATAAAATTAATTTCACGCAGCTAAACGTAGGCATTGTTATATCCAGTGAGCCTGTGTAATAGGGAGAACCGACTGATGAACGTGACGTTCCATATTATCTGCGCGGTTCCTTTTTTGGAGCGTATATTTTAAAAAAATGTTTCTTCTTTGAGTTTGCGCATGTTTGGCACCCTGTTGTAAGAAAGCTGGAAATTCACCCATTATGATAATGTTAGAAAGCGTTGGTGTTCCTCCGTCCATGTGCACACGCACACACCAGCATCTCTGTCAGCCACCGCCACTAATTATGTGGGGAACATCGGATATAAATTAAGGGTGTAACGGGTATGGGACCGCAATTGCTGTACAAACGTTCATATTCGCGTATCGTGGTTCCGTGTCCCGGACCTCCTCCCGCCCCGCCCTGCTGCCGCGGGTGCAACCTGTGCAGCTCGATCACGTTCTTACTTGTTGCAAAATTCATTTTTCATTTCACAGTTAACACTATGTATATTTCGTAAAAATATTACACACATGTGAGAGCGTACAAATATGACTGTAATGCTACACGTATTTGTCGTGTACCTTTACTATTTGACATGTATTTTCAGTTTTTTCAAATTATCAATCACTTCTCTTTTAAATAAATAAAATTTCTCACACCAGTACTTTTTATTTTGTTACATTTCATGAGCAAGTATTTGCGATTTGTAACAAGATGCATATTTGTGCCCATTTCTGCACGAACACCACGTGCCATCGCGGCCACGTCGTTTCCAAACAACAATAGCGTTAAGTAATGTGAGGTTAGGGTTAAGGTTCCCAGAAATCATATTCTTTTCTATAGGAGTGATAAACATTAATTGCTATCTGCAATGCTTTATTAACTTTCATGAATTCATTTATCTGACGCTTTTATTAAAAGTGACTTACAGTAGAGGGACAGTTATAAGTTATGAGACTGCAGCCCACACCCCTTGTGTCGCTAGTGCAGTTCTATACTTGTCTTTAATTGCTACGCATCATGTCCTCCTGAGACCCCACCCATTCATTTATGTCCATTGTAGTGGACATTTTATTTTTGCATCTATCTTTTCACTGATGTTGGGAAACGTATTTATTCCTGTTGTGCACTAAAGAGGACATGCTGTGAAATTAAAAATAGAAATAAATTTGAAAAAAATCTAAATTGTAAGATGTCTTATTTCCTCCAAAGACAAATAACAGGACACTGTTATTTAATAATTGAAGGACACTTTTTTCCTTGGGTCTCAGGAGGATATACTTTTGCGTGATTTTCTAAATACTTCTTTGAGCGCCTTAGGAAGACTGCTTTGGGAAAGGTAGCATTTAAAAGTAAATTCAGGTATAAAGTGGTGTTAATTACACAGCTATTTAGCCAAAGGGAACCAGCGGTGCTGGGTTACTCATCACCATGGTAATCGGTCACCAATCCCATGCCAACAAACGCCAACAAGTAATGACTAGAAGTAAGTAGGACTAGCCGGGGGCATGCAGAGGATGACGAGGAACTGGGACTGTCAGTTCTTGTCCTCAAGTTTATTTTTTAATAATGCTGGTTGCACTTTAAGGTTCATGTTTGTGGTAACACTCCTCTGGGTAACTCCAGGCTCCAAGTGACCCCAGGATCACTCTGCTGTTCAGATCTTCCTTGAGAGAAACTGTTTCACAGAAATCAAGCTGTGGCTCTGTGGTGTTTCTGAGTCATGAAATTGAACCTACAAAAAAGAAATGTACAATTTAGCTCCTGGGTTTTTAAGTCTTTTGTTTTTTTCTTGCATTTTTCAAAACATTCATTTATTATTTTAAAAAATGATTAAGAAAATCCAAACGCATAAGCTACAGTATCTACATCAACATAAGTTTAAAGTAGATACTACAATGCCAATAACATTGGTTTCATAATAAGTACTAATACTAATTTCTCATACTATTTAATACATGTCATACAAAAGACACATTAATGTTGTACTAGCAAGGTGACTTTTTTCCTTTGACTTTGTGTTGTCCTTTGTCATATGCGCACAGTAGTCATGTAATATACTGGGCATTGTGGTGTTTTTTTGGGCTGTGGGGGCTTTGCCAGGCTTGAGTAAAGAGTAGGATCTGAGCAGGTGGAGCTCACTGTGGCCAAGCATGAGGGAGCCAGGACAGGAGGGGGCGGTTTGACCGGTGCGAGTGCATGGGCTCACGCGTGGACCACTTCCCATAGCCCTGCTCGCGGACACATTTCTCATGGACTGTTCCAGAAGCCCTCAGTGCCATCGGCAACGGGCAGATTCCAAAAAACACAACTGTGAGCCGCGTCTACTACAGACACACAAACACTGACACAGATACATACACACAAACACAGACACGGATACAAACACACACACACAAACACAGACACAGATACAAACACAGATACAGACACAGATACAAACACAGATACACACACACACAGACACAGATACACACACACACAGACACAGATACAAACACAGATACACACACACAGACACAGATACAAACACACACACACAGACACAGATACACACAGACACAGATACAGACACAGATACACACACACAAACACTGACGCAGATACATACACAGACACAGATACAAACACAGATACAGACACGGATACAAACACAGATACACACACACAAACACAGACACAGATACAAACACAGATACAGACACAGATACAAACACAGATACACACACACAAACACTGACACAGATACACACACACACAGACACAGATACACACACACACACAGATACAAACACAGATACACAAACACAAACACAGATACAAACACACACAGACACGGATACAAACACAGATACAGACACAGATACACACACACAAACACAGACACAGATACACACACACAAACACTGACACAGATACATACACAGACACAGATACAAACACACACACACAGACACAGATACACACAGACACAGATATAAACACAGATACACACACACAAACACAGACACAGATACACACACACAGACACTGACACAGACACACACACACATATACACACACAGATACAGACACACACACACACACACCTTTCAAAAAACGCCCCAGAAAAGCAGAGAGCTGATGAAAACCCCAGCATGAATGCGTAGAAGAGAGCTGATCCCTAGGCTTAAGCCCATCACAGAAGTAACTGTTTTGGGCCCCACGTTTCCCCAACCACTCAAGGCAGCCCAGGTGCTGAATTCCCCATCAGATTAGGCTCTCTTAAGTGCTCGAGAGGAAGCCCTCAATGAAATAAGTGGGACACCCAGTGTCCGTGAAACTCTTGCACGATCAGAGGAAGCTACCTGATTTTACAAGGGCACTGCAGTATGAAACTAACAGGCCCCTTATCGTCCACGAAAACAGGTCATAACTAGTCATATAATTAAAATGGTCTGAAACTAAAAAATACTTTTTTTGCAGGGGTACAGGAAATGCATGAAGTGATTTAATATAATTACTGTGACCAATTACTGTGGGATCAAATTAGTTTGGTAATGAGTGGCTATTTCGTAAAAAAAAAAAAAAAAAAAAATCTGACATTCTATCTACATTTTCACAGGCTGCATTACATAAGGAAAGTTAGTCAGGAATAATAGTTTTACACACATTACTAAAAAGAGAGAATTTCAGGCTTTTATTATTGTTATTTGTCTAAATATTCTTGAGTCGTTTTTTTCCATGGAAACAAGCTTAACTCCTAACAATGATGCATGACATGCCGAATTCAAAGGATATTTCTCCCAGGGAGGCAAAACAGCAATTACTTCTTCAATAGATGTTTAATATTCAACCCAGCATTGCTTATCTCAGTCTTGCATGATAATTTGCAACAAAAAGCATAAAACACATTCTTAGTTCAGTCAGAATATGTGTTCCCTGAGAATGAACCACAGGCTACCAGACCGTTCCCAGCATGTACTGGGGACAAGTAACAGTGCTTTGCTCTGTGGTTCTGTGCTTGCTACACATTGCTGATTTCAAGGCTGTACTTGGCTTTGAACCGTCCCTGAGTGAAAACATAATCTATAACTGTGGTAATTACTTCTTTAGTATTGCCAGACATATTCTTCAGCCGATTTACAGAGAAGCAAACGCATATACATCTATACACCCCATCCGCGATATTCTCTGTCTCATGCTCTTTACATTCTTTGATCAGCGTCAAGCTCACTGTGACCCTGTACTGGATATGGAAGACAGATGGATGGTTTAAAATCAGAAAGAAAGCTCGAGGATCATTTGATCTTCCGAGTATGACTAAGACAGAATTACAAAACTGCATGAAACCTTAAAGAGACAAATCGGGAAGAGGAGATGATGCAAATGTACTCGGTAAAGCAAGTTCCCGGAAGAACATGGAGTCGCTGTGACTTATTATGCAGCAATTAGTCAATCTGAGGATGTTAAATCACATGTAGCATGTAAATGAAAACATAAATGCGAAATAAAAGAAAGGGCAGATGCAGTTTAGTTTGGGTGTTTCTGCTTGCCTTTGTCCTGCTGTAAGAAGATGATTTATTTTGTCTGTAATCTGGTTTGGCAGGGCAGAGTGAGCCTTCCCTGCACACGCTGTATTTATAGTCCGTGATGAGTCCCAGCGACCTGTCTCACAGCTGCCGAGGCTAGATAGGAGCTTCAAACCTCAGGCCCAGCCCCCCCCGCCCCAGCCCACACAACAGCACAGGGATCTTCAGAGCATCAGATGGGTCTTGGCCATTTTCGGTGATTTAAGT